TTTTTTTTTTTTAAACAAACGAAAATTAAGAAAGAAAGATTAAAAGAGAATGGGAAAGGAAAGACACACGATCGACCCTCTCAATGAAAGCACCAATGATGAAGACCGTGTTTCTCGATTGCCGACAAGCTGCTCCCACACCTTAAATCGTTCGATAGGTGTTAGGAAGTCGCACACTCGCAGCCTTTCTAACGAATAAAGTTGCAAAAGAATTCAAGAAGAAAACTAGAGCAAAGAGTTTGAAAAAAAGTTTGGATTTTTGTATTTATTTCTTAATGATTAAATTAACAAGAGGAAGGGCCTTTATATAGGCATCAACTAGATCTAGTCCTAATATAACTATAACTCTAATAAAGTAATAAAATATTAAGTATCCTAAACAAACTAGAAAACAAGGAAATAAAATATTAATCAAGCTATTTAATTTATTTCTTGCTTGCGCCCCAAACCGCCTTGCCCGCGTCCGCGTTGCCTAATCGATCAAGGACTAGGGCTTCATCTTCCATTCCCGCGCACGCGTCCAGAAGCTCGCCTAATCCTCGCGCGCCTAGGCAAATTTGCACGTGCACCCTGTCGCCTGCGCGTTCAGCCCCGCGCTCGGCCCCGATAATATCGAGCGCGTCATCTTCCGCGCGCGCTTGTCCATCCGCGTATCGCGCCTCTCCGGCACGACGACTTAGCCTCCTTCGCGCATGCCACGCGCGACTTGCTGCATTCTTGAGCCTTCTCGCCGTGTCCGTATCAGTGCGCGCTGGCGTGCGCTGGCGTGCGCTGGGGCGCTGTGATACGGAAGTGGGTTCCGGACCCCTGCGACAAGAAGGACCAAGAGTCGAGACGACCCGAGGAGGCTGAAAATAGGGGCAAAACGACACATGCATGGCCTAAAAGACGGGTACGAGCGCGTATGCGGGGCACTCGAGCACATGAGAAGCGGCACGTACAAGGCAATAGAGAGAGGCGGGCACACGCGCATTGGCGTAGACGCGCATGGCGCAACGGGGCTACAAGCGATGGCGCGCCTTGGGCGTGGGATGAACGAGGGGCAGCGCTGGGCGCACGGGGGTGCGCGGTAGGCGAGCAGGCCGCTGGCGTTGGTGGTACGCGCGGAGCAGTAGGCGACGGACGTGCGGATCGCGCTGGGCGTACAGGTAGCGTGTACGCAGGTGAAGGCCTAGGCCTAGTAGGCCTAGGATTGGCGCGGCAACACACGCGCAAAGAAGCCAGCTGGGGCGGGGCGTGCGCATGGGCGCACGAGTGCGACGCGGGTGATGGCCTATACCGCGTAGGCATAGGAGTGCTGGACGACGAGTACGGGGCGCACGGCGGCACGCGCGAGGCACAATACAAGACCGGGGTGGCAAGCCTAATCCTCGTAGGAATAGGCAAGGCACGAATACTAATCCTCGCAGGAATAGGAAAAGCAGTTGAGTGCCAGAACGCGCGTGGGAGATCGGTGACGGGAGTAATCCTCGGAAGATCAGGAAACGTAACCGAGAGCCTATTCCTAGTAGGAATAGGAATAGTGGATATGGGCTCGAAGCATGGTCCTACAAGGAATAGGAATGGCACATGTGGGGCGCGAGACCTTAAGCCTCGAGGCGAGAGGACATGCACGCATGGGCGGACGAGACGCGTGGACGAGGCGCGCGCGTTACCGCGCGCGACTAGGAGTAGGCGTCCAAGGCGGCGCGCGATATGGCAGTTAGGGTTGAGAGGCGGCCGAATGGTGTGGAGTGCAAGGCAAGGAATTGGATAGCAAGTCAAGATATTAGGAGATCTAGTAGATTTAGGAATTTATGGTAGTAGGATATTTACTTGCCTTAGGATTTAATATTTAATTGTTTTATTAGTTTTCTAGTAAGATTAGCATTAGAGATAGTTGGTACGTATAAATACCCATGTACCTCATCATATTTTACAAGTTGAATGAAGTATTGAATTGGTGAGCCAATTGAGGGGAACTTTATGTTCTAACGTGTGATAAACAAGGCCGTCAGTGCGTGTTTACATACAGTGTCGGAGAGAAGGCCCTGAGAGCGTCTCAAAGTCACAGTGTCTAGGAGAAGGCCGATATTGCGTCTGCTAGATACACCTATCGTGGATAAACGAAGGCCCTGAGTGCGCCGTTTGTTCACACCCAACGTATAAATAACAACACCGATCAGCGGTCCTTCATCATTGGTGCTTTCATTGAGAGGTGCTGATCGTGTTTTTATTTATCCTATCTTTTTCTTTTTTCGGTTTGCCTTTTGCTGAGGGGCCGAATTTCTCTTCTTTTTTTGTGTCGAAATTTTCGAATTTATTCGAATTTTTCATTAAAAAAAAAGTGTCATCTTGTTAGTCATTTGTTTGATTTTTGTTCGGTTATTACCTTTTGTTGAGGGGTCGAATTTCTTTTTTGTTTCGATTTTTTGAGTCTTGTTGGGGGTTCGATTTTACGAATTTTTCCCAAATTATTTTCGAATTTTTTGAGTCAAAAAAAAAATGTTGTTCGAGCCATTAGTTGAGTGGGATCGAGAGGATCTCGAATATCTCGAAGGTTTGGAGAGGGAATTGACCCTTTGGGAACAAGATTATTTGGAGGAGATGTACGGGCAAAAGAACGAGTATGAAAGACAACTCAAAATCATGGAGGAAAAGCAACAAGTCGAGGCCAAGCGAAAGGAGGAGAGGGTCGCGATCGACGTAAGGTCCTCAAGCAACCCTCACGTGTTGGTCGAAGAACGGTGCGAAGGGCCAGAGGACATGGATGCCGAGTACGTGATGGTGGGTTCGGGTGATTGGTGCAAAACGTGCGCACGGGAATGGCGCTCGCAACACATCGAGGTCGAGGTCAAAGAATTGGAGGTAACCGAGGTTGAAGAGGCAATCGAAGCCCAGCCGATCGCTACCGCGAGCCAACGCCCACAGTCGCGCCCAGTCGAGCCCAGTCCCAGCGCCCAGCACGCCCAGGATCATCGCACGAAGGCCCGACGCCAGTTCGTGCGATCGTCGTTCGTCCCTGCTGCTCGCAGTCGCCACCGCACGTTGCCAGCGTACGAGGAGTACGCGCGCACCTTCCGCGCGCGCCCAGGATTCCTTGTCCAGCACACCGCGTGGTCCCAGACGCACACGCCCAGTCCGCGTCCGCATAGGAGAAGCGCGCCGCGTGTACGCACACGCCCAATATCCTCCCGCGCATCGCCAGCAGCCCCGCGCGTCCCGCCAGCGCCCGTCCGCGTTCCCAGCGTCCGTCTGCGTGTCTGCCCAGCGCCCGACGCGCCCGATCAACACGCACGCTGTCCGCGCCCGACGCGCATGTGCTGCACGCTGCCACCCGACGACCGTGACCCGTGCACCGTCCGTTCGTGACCCGTTTGACGAGTTGATTAGAATCAACTAAAGGCCAAACCTATCCGCCCATTAGGTTGTGGTGTTCAGACGAACTTCACCAACGGTACTCTACATCGTCTCAGAGTCGGCAAAAATTTTAAAAGGTAAACGTCCATATCCTAACTATAGATTGCGCTGCGTTAGGATTAATTTCGATAAAGTTCAATACTGTGCATGTTGTTTGACGTTCCTAACAGAACCCAACACGGTTGTCTGCCATCTCTTTCGTGTGGCAGCTAGGCGATCCTCGCGTCGTCGGGCGACTTCCATAGTGGAGTGAATGGTCTCGGTCGTTCCAAACGCACCTCAGCCGCAAGATCATACTTCAGGCCACCTACGAATGCTTCTACTAATGCAGTTTCGGGCCAGTCCCGTACTCGGCAAGATAAACGTTCAAATTCCTTCAGATAATCACGTAGATTACCTGTCTGCCGTATACGAGTCAATGCCTCATCATAGTTGTGGTAGTCGGATGTACCAAAGCGTGTGAGTAACTCCCTCTCAAAATCACCCCAGGTGATAACTCGCTGTCGGTTGCTGTAGACGCTTGTGAGCAATTGCCACCATACGTTGGCCTCATCATCTAGATAGTATGCTGCGTACCTTACCCGATCATGGCCTCGGTTTCATTGAGCTCAAAGTATTGAACATCACGATTGAGACGGTTGAGACTGCATGAGTCGCGGTTTGTCGGGCCTTGGTCGATCTCGGTAGTTGGATGCTTGAGACTGCTGATCGAAGTCTTCCTCTCCCTCAAATTCGCCGCGTCGCTGTTCTCTGTCGGGCCGCTCGTGCGCGCGCCTTTCCTCGTGCCTCGACGACGGCGAACGATCATCGTGACCCCACCGCTGCAAGTGGAGTCCGCGAAAGATCTCGTCCAGCCGTTGTTCGAGTCGTGCCATAGCTACGTTGGTGTTGCCCTGGCCATCGTCGAGCGATCCGAGCCTTCCTTCCATGGCCTCGCTCATGCTTCTAACTTGGATGTCGAGATTATCGATCTTGTCCTTCATCTCCTTGTTGGCCATAGCTTTTTTTTCTTGCTTGCGTTCCTTGCTTCGTGGACTCATCTTGAAGAAGATATTATTTTTTTTTTAATCGAAATAAAAAATAAAAGAGGAAGAAAAGAAAGAGAATGGGTTCGGAAAAGACACACGATCTGATCAACTCTCAATGAAAGCACCAATGATGAAGATCGCGTGTCTCAATTGCCGATAAGCCACAAACCAGTGCCTTGAATCGTCGATAGTTGCCTAGAGGTTCACAGGGTACACCCCTCTAAACGAATAAAATTGCAATAGGATTTTTGGTGGAAAAACTAAAGCAAGAGAATGAACAAAAGTTCTTGATTTCTTATTGATAAAATTGATGATGATAAATAACATGGAGAATGGACCTTTATATAGGCACAAAATAAATCTAGCCCTAATCTACCTAGGGAACTAATAAAGCAATAAAATATTAAGTATCCTACTTAAGCTAGAAATCATAAAGTAAGATGGAAACTAAATAACTTGGCTTGCACTCCACTCAAACTCTCTCTCTTCTCTTCGGTTGCTCGCCCACCGCCGTACTCGCACGCCGCCTTCCACGACCCTAGTCCTCGAGGACTAGGGCGCCGCCTCCAATTGCACGTGTTCTGCCGTCTGGCGTGGCGCGCACGCCTGTCCCGCCTTCGTCGCCCTTGCGTGAGTGATCGCTCACCGGTCTTCTTTCCTCGTGTCGTAAGGCTTCGCGTTCCGCCTTACCGCATGCCTCGAGTCATAGGGCCTCATCCCTCGCGTGTGCCTCCCAGCCGCGCGCTTCTCCCGCGCCCGCGCTCGCTGTGCCCATCGCCTGCGCGTGATGCGCGCCTGCGCTAGTGTGCGCCCGCTCGCCTGTCTCGCACGCTAGTCGCCCGCAGTCATTCTCGCCCGTTGGCTGGCCATTCTCGCGCTCCTCAAGGGAACTCTGCTCAAGGGTGTGCGTCTCGCCCGTCACTTGCGCTAGCCGTTTGCATGCATGATAGGCCCGACTCGCTGCATTCTTCAGGTGCCTAGCTACTTCTGTATCATTCCCCCCCTTCAAGTGTTTCCTTGTCCTCAAGGACGAAATTCGGGAATTGATCGCGCATCTCGTCTAGGTCTTCCCATGTGGCTTCCTCAGGAGGCAACTCTTCCCACTCAACTAGCTCCTCCCAGCGGTAGCGACCGACTTTCCTGACTTTGTGGTATTCAATTGCACATTTTGGGCGCACAATGACCCTTCTATCGGTCGCAGTCGCCGGTAACTCTTCGTACCACTTGTGCGCTTCTCCTAGGCTTCTCTTTAGCTGCGAGATGACTGTATGGATCTGAGAACTTTCCAGTAGCTCTAGACGATAAGCGACTTGACCAATTCGCTTCAGAATCTGATAAGGCCCATAGTACCGCACTCCCAGCTTAGTTGCTGCCCTCTGTGCTGCCGTGCGTTGTCTGAACGGTTGCAACTTTAAGTAGACGTACTCACCCGGCGCGAAACTCTCCTCTCGTCGTTTTCCTTCTACGAAGGCTTTGGTTCGATTAATCGAGACTTCGATATTTTTCTTCAACTCTCGCAACATCAGATCTCGCTCCTCAAGTTCTTGACCGACCTCATCGTTGATCGTGCCTTCTTCTAGGTAATTGATTAGTGTTGGCGGTTTGCGCCCATATACTAACTCGAACGGAGTCATCTTGGTCGACTCATGGTAAGTAGTATTGTACAAGTACTCAGCCCATGGCAGAAAATTTTCTCACCTCTTCGGGAATTGGTGGACATAGCCCCGTAGATATTGCTCAAGGGTTCGGTTAGTTACCTCGGTTTGTCCATCGGTTTGGGGATGAAATGCTGAACTCACGGATAACTTGGTCCCTTGTAGTTTGAAAAATTCAGACCAAAAGCTGCTCCTAAAGATCCAGTCTCGGTCGGAAACTATAGATCGTGGAGCT